TGTGTGTGTGTGTGTGTGTGTGTGTGTCTGCATCCAAGTTACACAGTGAGCACATCACAGCCACTATTGCACTAATGTTCAGTTTGATATTATCTGGAAATAACTAGTTCTTATGCTCTAAGTTAAGAATCTTTGTTCTCAGTATGAATTAGAGCCTGACCGACATATCGTTGGTCCTTTAATTACAGCTGATATGAGCCTTAAATACACACATCAGTACCTAAACATCTTCAGAATCGTTGCCAAAATTATTCGGTGAAAGCCTCCTTCTTCTGGGACTTGGACCAGTTCTTGTAGACGCCTGCACTCGTTCGTCCCTGACGCGCTCAGCGATCGGACGCATTGCTTCCACTTCCTTCTCATTCACCTTTTAATCCCAGTCAGATGACCTCACCGACGACGTGTGTCTATCGGCGCTGTAATCCAGGAAGGTGGTCATTATATATACGTGTAAATCCATCCAGGACTTTTTGCGGATTCTGCTTTTTACCAAACAGACACAAGTACACAACTTCCTGGGCGGAGATGGTAAACATATAAACCCTCACTCCCCAGATTGTCAGTCCCTTTCAGGATGGTGTTCTCAGTACAACACCCTGGTATCAGCTGGCGTTCCCTGCTGATTGAAGAAAATGACCCCTCTGAGGCAGATGTCTGGTTTCCAGCAGCCGGCTGCACAACATTCTGCTCATCGTGCCTCTCTCTCTCTCCACCAGCCCGGCCCCGCTCTCCTCCTCTTTCAGTCACAATCGCACTCACAGTTGAACCCTGGCCTCCTGCAGACAGTCGCTGAGCCGGCGGCCAGACTCCGTCCGGCCCGCCACTCGGTAGCATTCCATATCTCTGTCATTTATCTAAATCCCAGAAATCAATTACGGGCACGCTAAGGTGCCAGGGTGAGGGATTTGAGTTTTTAATTTTCTCCATGCTCCTCGCTGGCACACTTCCCTCTCCTGGTACGGAGGCTTACGGATTAAGCAGAGGTAGACAGTTCTCTGGCCTCACGCAGTCTGGAATATGAGCACATTTTTGTTTGAATATTTCTGCATGTTACCTTTGCGGTTGAGCATGGCCTTGCTTTTCATTAAGAGATAAGGCGATGACTCCGGTCTTGAGTTGTGTTATCAACTCAACTCTATAAACGGGCAGTAGAGGAAATATGAGTTATACGGTACATTAAGAGAGTTACAGCTGACAGCCTGAAGTGTTGAACTCTTTGTGAACATAAAAAGTAATTCCCCATAAAGTAAATGATTACATTTTAAGGTTAGGTTTGCGTGTGCGCCTTCATCCATCACTCATTCAGTCAATCACACAGATCCGGTGTATTTCAATGTGTATTTGCTGTATTTCGGTTTTGCACAGTATATTCAGAAGATGAATATCACACCCTGTAAAAGGCGTCAGTCAGTCCGACCTGCCGCTAAAAATATTGTCTCTGATTTTTATCCCGCTCTGTTTCCTGTTCTGTTGTATTTTTATCAGTTGGTAGTTGGTTTTATTTTCCTGACAACCAATTTCAGAGATAGCATCTGGATTGCGGGGCGGCCCATGGCCCCGCTGGAGGTGAACCCCCGATCCTTCGGAGTCTCTTAACAACCTGTAAAACAGTTTCTCCGACCAGCAGCAGCAGCAGCAGCAGAAGTTACTCGTTGGGGATCACTATCTTTCCGTGATTGGTCAGATGAGTGAGGCCTTATCAGAACCACATGTAACCCGTCCACCACTTTCCCACTAAATGTCCGCATCGTGGACAGCTCCTGTTAACACACAGCCGACGGCTCGCGGTCCGTTGACACGGCAGAGCTGGGCACGGATTTCTGAGAAGTGATAAGACCGACCTAGCCTGCACTCGCTGGCCTGAACGCTGCTTTGTTATCGCCACGTAAAGATATCGATGGAATCCCTTTCCCAAGTATGTGAAGAGGGCGTCTGAGGGGTTATATTCTCGCCTCTTTAATTCCTAACCTTACATTGCACGTTTCAAGTGAAGCAGTAACAAGATCAGCCGGGGTGAAAACTCCCCTTTTGGCAATCCTGACGTTACGTGGGAGAAATGGACAAACCCCTGACAGAGGAATGAGTGAGAGAGCTTTGTAATTGTGCGTGCCCGTTGGAGCGCAGCGCCGTAGGAAGGTCGGGTTTCAGTCTCGCGCTCGCTCCCTGCACAGCTCACATGCTTTCAGGAGAATAGACTCAGGATTTGAAACGCTGGTGAACTGTAAAGGACTCTCCTGATTTCCCAGACGCACAAACGCACGCCCTCCACTTCCCTCTCCCCTTCAGAAATTCTAAACCTCCTTTCAGCTCCCGTTTGTGAGCGGAGGTCACGGTCGACCTGCCAGCCTGGGAACAGCGTGCAGCCAGCGCAGGTCCAGGAGCTGGAGATCGGACGAATAGTAAACACAGAGCGAGCGTGTGTCAACAGAGCCGGCTTAGAAAGTGCGTTTCCGTTTGGCCTGGTGAGCCGGGTGTAAAAGCACAGCTGCAGTGATATGATGACTTAATGCACTCTCAAGTGCCTGACGTTTACACCAGGCTGATAGCGTGCGAGCAGAGAAATCCAAACAAGGTGCTCGTATGAAACATCATGACCTTTTAAGCACAACCACTTGATAACTGAAAGAATAATGGAGAAAAGTAGAATGGCCTTGAGGAGAGCTCATACCTCTGCCAACAGTCCCCTTAGATTTAAACAAGCTGCACCAAGTTTCACACTCAGACACGTTCATCCCTTTCAGTTTGTTTGAAACTTCAAACTGTGCTCTCTGATTTTAAATTGATTTCTTTTGATTTTGCATTGGAATCCACCTCTGTGTTTGAAATGTGCTTTGTAAATAAAACTACTGTTTGCTGTGACTAAATATCCGATGTCCGCTGATATGTTGTGTTTGTGTTCTTTTCGTTTTTTACCGTGAGATTTTCCCTCGGGGGACGATAAAGATCTTAAAACTACACTGAAAAACATTTGCGTGCTGTGTTTCTAATCAAGATTACTGCACTTCGGTACTTGAGGAAAACATATTTATTGTTCTGCAGAGCTGATGTAGAAGCTTATTCGCTTAGTTATGTTCTGTCCCCCGGCTGTGCCAACCCACACTTTTATTTTGTGACCTTGCAAGTTTTCCAGTGATCAGACTCGGTTTTTTATTTTTCTTTGTCGCCCCCCTTCTTCTTTTATCTTTATCCGAGGTCAGCATCCTTTCTGAGGTAGCTGCATATATGAAAGAAAAAAGACAAGGCTTTCCCAGGGGTTATGTTTAGGTCAGTGCTTTTCTCCCAATTTAAAACATCCCTTCATTGCCAAGGAAAAGAGAAAATTGTGCTGAAGCTGCACTTTACGGACGCCGCCGCTTTCTGAATCTACTGCTGCACTGTTGTTATTTACAGTGTGAGCTGATTCTCACAGCGGCCCCTGACAGAGGTGATGGATCTCTGGGGAATGTGACAATATGACAACTCTGTGTTTATGCCTCCTCCTCTGTGCTGCAGGGCCCCGGTGGAACTGAAGAGGCGCCGTCTCCAGACCCGTCCCAGTCCCAGCAGGTCCAGCACAGCTTCGTCCAGGAACACTTCCAGGCCCAGTACAAGTGAGTGTCCTCTCCCAACAATAACCACCTGCAAGAAATCAAGTCAGTTAGGAATCAGCGGCCAGGCTTGTGAGCTCATTACCTCCGCCACAGTTAATCCTCCAGAAGGATGCGGGATAAGTCAGAGAAGACCCGGTTAAAGTTTAGTGCTGATCCGTGAATCTGAAATTGGTGTCAATGAGAGTTATTCAATATTTTCGCCATTTTCCCACAGAAGCATCCATGAAACCTTTAGGGACCTGATATCTTCTGCTACATCCACACTTCTATGTTTTTTGATTTCTGCTCCGGATACGCGTTAATCACAGTTGAGTTTGTGAATTGTGGTGCAGCTTCAACTGACACGTCACATGCCACTGTCATGTTGTCAGATCACCTGTGTCCACCCACACTTCTATGGTGTTTAGCCTTCATTGGTCAGATTAAGGACGACACAGCAGCTGTAATGGGGGTGTCACTGTGTCTTTTACACAGAGGTCCTCAGAGACACACATGCCAGGTCAGAAGAATAGCAAATCTCAGTAATTACCAAGCCGGCAAAAGCAGGAGGGTCTGATGAAAAACTGCCCCGGTGCCCCAACCTCCTTATTGGGATAGAAATCCTTTCCTGTGCGAGTACTTATTTCCAGCTTAGCTCTCGTGCCGGGTGGAATAATTGAGGTTGTTAGCTGTGCCAGCGGTGAGGTGTTTTCACTGTTGTTAATACTCTGAAGTGAAGTGTTTTCTCCACCAGACTGGTTGCAGCTGGACGTCCTCACGACTCAAAATTAATCAATCATCCAGTCTCAGATAAAGAGGCAGCTCTTCACAATGTTCACATCTGTCAGCTGCGCTCTACTGGGAGCTGGAGCTTCATTCAGACGCTCACAGACTCATCTGTGCACCATGTCCGAGCGGAAAGAGCTAAATATTATATATATATATAATTTTCTGTTTCGGTCTGAAGAAAGAGAAGCGAGGATGCTCAGCAGATTTGTCGCAAGGGTGTGTTGCTGCTTCGGAGAATTATTCCTACAATATACTCTCACTTTTTATTGTTTGTGTGCTGGACGTTGTGTGCAGAGCTGGCAGGTGCAGAGTGACGCTGGAAAACTTTGTGTTCATCCCACCTGGTTTATCTGCACAGAAGATTTTGTAGTTTCTCATAAAATGAATTTGCTTTATTACTGATCACCTCTGTATAATATTATTTGTCGGTTATTTCAGAGGTCCGTTACAGTAGAATCCATCCCAAGGCTAAAGTCATTAATCACCTGTAGTGTCTGTGTCCCGTAACTGACCGATCATCGCAGGTCATCGGCAAAATCCGATCTGTGTTTCGTTAATAAAACGCATTCGCCTCCCTGCAGACTGAACCGCTAATGTCTTGTTTGTCCCATCCCTTCCCCCGTCTGCTAATTCCTCAGAAAGTTGTCAGCTCTGTGTGACTGCCAGTAATACCTCTGACGCGGCGCATCTCTTAATTGCCACCCTCGCTGTCAAATGTTTCAGATGTGAGACCTCGGGTGTGTCTCGACAGGAAGCAGCAGACTCTGCAGCCTGGCAGGAAGATTTTTTTGTTCCCGTCTCCTGTTTGAATGCTGCGTAATGGGTGAGACCGCGAGGACGGAATCTGTAAACGTTCCAAGTTAAACTATGTAAAAAAAAAAACCTGCAGACAGGATGAATCCCGAGGTTTTTAATGGAGATGCATGCTCTGTTATCGCCGCTGGAATCGATCTTTTGAATTAACATCTCTTGACTCCCGTCGTTCTCTTTTCCTCTTGAGTCCTGAGCGCCCCCAACTCACTGGGTAACAATGCGCTTTCTGGAGTTGACGGATGGGAGAATTATTCTTGTAACAGCCTCGGTTTGTCACTGTGGAATCTAAACTTGGATGAGTCATCACGTGCTGAGGACGATGTAGTCTCATTTTATAATGAACTTGTCTTTGGGTTTGGGTTTTTTCCCCGATACCACTCCTAAATCAAAAGTTTTAAAATGACCTCGGTGCCTTAACTGGGCCAGAACTGATATCTTTTATTATGAGAACAGATTTTTTTATTAAGGCAAACTGGAAATTGAAAATTAACATATCAACAGTTAACTTACTCACATAATACTTTAAATCATTTAACTTTGGGGAGATTTGTCGTGTTGACTCATGTTTGTTGTTGATTTTGGTGGCGTGCAAAACATCGCTCGTACATTTGCTTCACCGATAAGATCTAGACTCATCCCTCTTTCTTAAATCTGTTGCTCTTGTCCCACACTGAGGAAATAACTGTAACATTGGATGTGATCTTCGTGCAGATGTGGGCGACACAGTGGAGACTGTACTGAAAATGTCGAGCGTCATTCATTCTAGAGAAGCCGGGTGACGGGCAGCCGAGCGTTTCAAATTTCAACCGTGCAGCAGTTTTGGTGGGAGAGTGGCTCGTCTTACCGTGACGCCGCTTTCTCTGAGCGACCCTCGCTTCTCGCCACCCGACCTCTGTTGTGATCACATCTGCTGATTGGTTATGATTTGCAGGGCGGGATCGAGTTTCCGCTTGTTGTTTTTAATTTACAGGCCCAATAATGGCTCTGTTTATTATCTGTATATTGTATTTTCAATTAGTGAATTATGAGGCACACATTAAGGTTTACGCCTTTTCCTTCTCGGAGCATTAACGTGGTGAATAAACCTCCTTTCATCCGCCATCAGAGGACGTAGCCGTCAGCCAGACTCACTGAGGAGAATTAGCTGCCAATCTGTCCCATTTCTAATCGGAGACTCTGTTTGCTTTTCCCAGCATCCCTCAGGAAAGCGAATCGGTCAGATAAAGATACCGAGGTGATGTGTCACTCGGGGGAACTTTCCGCAGCGCGTTGTGGTGCAAAGCATCGAGCTCAGAGTCTCTTCAGCATGGCTGCGTCCCAGACAGGGGGAGGATACACGCTTCTCAACTTTTGCACGCTTCCTCCATTAGAGCGTCACCAGAATATCACCTTCTTCCTCTGCTCCTTTTCTCTTTTTAAGTGTTTTCCAGCGGCGCGGGGAGCATCTATGTTTTAGTGGAGGCTGAGTGTGATTTGTATGCACAGAGTGCAGCTCACCCTCACTGTTTCCTGGCGAGAATAAGACATCCGTAGGGCAACCACTCCGCTCTGCCAAGACTGAGATGCACTAAGAGCCAGTGTCAGCTGGGCTCGCTTGAATGGAGCTTTATTCTCTCCCCCCCCCTCCTCCTCCTCCTCCCCCCTCCTCCCCCCTGGGTATGTCAGGTGCCGTCCTATGAGGTAAACACGTTTCTACAGTTCATCTCTGACTTCATGTCCGATGGTTCGATGTCGTGAAAAACACACTCAACACAAGTCTGTAGCCAACTTATGTGACATGGTGCTTTCCGACACTGCAGAGGTGAATGAAAACTGACAAAGTTATTTCCCATTTCACATAGCGGCTGATTTATATCCGTCCTGCTGATAATAAAAGAAATGAAACGTAACAGTCAGTCACAACCGAAGCTCTGTCGACCTGTAAATTAAAGTGTGTCCCTGTTTGTTCATTGACGTTTATTGCACTTGTTTCTTCGATATCATTTTTCACTGTTTTGAAAACTTTGCTCATTCAAACTGATGAAACCAGTTTTCACCTCAGGGTGCGTGTGTGAAAAAACATCGAGTGATTAATCATAGAAAAAAATAACAATCGCAGCAGTAATTGAAAAAACAATTGAGACAATTAAATGAAACGTGTAAACACAGACATTTAGATTTATTCCTTTAAATGTCCAGTTGAATTATTTCGTATTAGCTGATTCTCTCTGATCATTTTTGTGATTTAAAAAGAATCAGTGTGTGAACTCTTTGGCATTAATTTAACTTAACCCCTAGCAACCGCTTAAACAACTACTTGTTTTGGAATTCAAGAAATTGTTGAACGTTTGTTTCCGTGTTTGTTTCTGTGGTTGATGGTAATTCCACTTGTTTGATGACAATTGACAATTAAATGACATTCTGTTCTCTTTATATCCAGTATTTAGTCTCCACCCACTCATGCCCCTTATCCATGAAATCAAGAGGTTGATAGAAAACATCTATTCCAGACTTGTGTGATTATCCTGTGTTTACACAAAGTCTAATCCAGCAAATGTTGCACAGATGAACTCAAATTATCGGACAAAAGACGTAATGTAGTTTATAAAATCACCTCCAGCTCTCAGACATTAACTTAAGTGGGCTCTCTGACTCATTGATCGGGAAATTAGCTCAGTGGAATAAATTATTTTTCCTCCTGTGAGAAGAGGGAGGAGGTGTAATCTGTCTGAGTGGAAAAATCATTGTTTTGGGTTCAGTCGTCTCCTCCGTCAGTGATCCTGACGTCACTTAAAGAAGCTCCCGCCTCGCCTTGTGTTCTCGATCCTGTAATGACACCGCATGAGCATGAGTAGCATCGGTGAGGGTGATGCAACGAGACAGAAACCGCTGCTGCAGGTTCCCGTGCGTTCACCCCCAGGGATCCACTTCTGCTCCTCACTGCTGTCGTTCTCTTCATCACTCACCTTCTCCTTTCTCACCGCCAGATCGAGGCCTGTTCATCTCTCTCCTGTGTCGCTCGTTTGTGTAACGAGATTCGGACGGCTGCTCTCTCCCGCCCCGGCCTGACTCGGGGTGACTTTGGGACTAATTGGGGAGTCTGTGTCGACTCAGAGCAGCCGTTTGTCTGACGACTCATGCGACTGTGCTCTGTTTCCCCTCAGATCCTCGCTGACGTGCCCCCACTGTCTGAAACAGAGCAACACCTTTGACCCTTTCCTCTGCATCTCGCTCCCTATTCCTCTACGCCAGACCAGGTGAGCACAGCTGACTCGACTCCATCACCTGACGTGGTGGTTCTGTGACAAACCAGAGCAGTGCAAACGAATGAACAGTGTTAACGTATAATAGCAGTGCTTTTCAGGATGCCAGACTTTTATAACACAGTTCATTTTGATTATAACCTCCGCCAAGGCCCAGCCGTCTCCAACACAACCCTAAAATTAAGGGAATCGTCTGACATTTTGTAGAAAAACGTTTTGCAGGGGAGTTTTGTGTCAGACTGTTTACTTGTCGAAAGGTAGTTTTTGTCTTTTTGCACAGAATCAAACAAACAAGTATGTAAAATGTAAATTTAGCTGCTTTCATGCACTGAAGACGTTTCCAGAGGAGCTGTAGGTGAGAAGGCAAATATCTGTTGCTCTGGACACGTTCACATATTCCATGTCGGAGCTTCTCTTGAGCTTCAGACGTGCTGCTCGACATTTTGAACGGCCAGATAAGGTATTGATCTTTTCACCCTCAGCTTGAAAGCAAATAAACGTATTTACCCAAATGTGAAGCTGCTGCTTCAACGTGAACGTCGATCGGTTGAAGAGTTATCTCAGACTAAATTGTAGCTTCTGCTCAGCACAGGCTCTGTAGAGCTCATCTACATGACTGACACGCAGAGGTGTCGCTCTTAAGATTCACCGGAGCTTCTCTCTTGCCAGATATTGACGTCCTTTCAGTTTTCAGTCTTTCAAACAGTTCATGCAAGTTCAGCCAACTTCCCTTGGAATTCAGGAAATTATTCATCTTGACATCATTCCAAGTGGAGAGCATTTAGTTCCCATCCTTTACTTCAGTGAGTGTGAGGAGAGAAACAGATGGATTGGCTTTTAAATCTTATTTTTAAAATATATTTCTCTGTGTGAAGAGATCAGCTCACATGCTGTTTGTTAGCAAACCAACATTGGCTGTGCCCGGTTATCCGAACACCTCCTGTCCCTTGGCAGTCACATGCACTTTGCATGTCGCATGGTTTTTTATTTACACTTCCCTGTTCATGCAACATGGACGTTTTTTTTTTTTGCGTATGAATATTCTCTCTCGGTGGCAGCAGCCCATTAATTAGCCTCATTAAGGGAGCGACGCGTTAGTGGTCGAGATGTCTCGCATGAATGCAGTAGGTCAATAATACAACATTGATGAACAGTCGGTGGTTTCGGTTTGTTTTGTTCATATGAAAACTATAATAAACATAAATTTAGGATTCCTCCTGGAGCAGTGGCTGGATGAGTGCTGCCAATTTACTGTTCCTCTCTCTTCTGAAGCCTCCAGTCTCCGCCTCCATGCACCCAACTCCGTGGAGCAGGAGTAAACATGTTGGTTTGGATTTTAAAAAAAACAATCTCACGTAACAAGAACCAGTAGAATTATGCAGATGTCACCTGTTAATGCAGAATTCTGGCTTCCAGTTAGTTATAATACTTCAGAGTGCTGCTGCTGGTTTATGGGTGATTTTACGGCTCAGGGCTAAAATACATTTCTGAGATGCTTGAAGAATATAAAGGTCCCTCGGATCCTTTAGAAACATACAGTCAGTGGTGGCAGAACCGAAGCTGAAAGCTCGGCACAAAGGACAGTTCATGGTTTCTGTGTGTGCATGAAGCAAAGGTCTGTGTGATGTTTATTACATCATCCACCTGTAACTTATTATTTGACACCACGCAGACTGTGAAGTGAATGTGCCAGACAAGTTTATTTCATGCACCATATATATATATATGTGTACTTTATTTCCCACCCGTTCTTTTTTAAGTGGTCGCACACGTGGTTATGTTCTATCTATTTTTCAGATCACGTCAAGCAATACTTTGAAAAACTGAAAACAAAGATGAGTGCATGATCTAGTTAAAGGCTGAGGTGAAGAGAAAAGTTTTCTGACCTGTAATCTCATACTGCTAAAACTCTTTTATCACTTTTCATTAGTAATCGCAAAAGTTTGCATTAAAGGGGAATTCTGATATTTTAATCCTTGGCCCTATCAAGAGCTTGAATTTATTATTACACACGTATCGCTCAACACATACATTTACAAACGTACGGATAAATACAGCAATTCCCCCTCCACTTGTATTGTATATAAATATATTTGCATTGTTGAAATATAATTTAAAAAACTGATTTGAGTTTGAATAGAAGCTTTGTGTACCCGTCGTCCTTGTCTGGAGAGCAGAGGTTGTTCTGCAGCAGAAGTTTCTTTGTGATTTTGTTTCTTATTCTTATCTTTAGAGGAAACGAAATGATATTTGATGAATTAAGTTAAGCGGTACGTTTAAGGTTGCTTATCTAAACGATGCGCGTGTCCTTGGATTACCTTTTTGCGGCTGCGGCAGTTTCCTTTGCGCTCGGAAAATGTTTTATGGTCTCACCTAATTTGATGTTTTTTTTATTATATTCAAGTGCACATAAATAACGGAGCTGCCCCTGTCACCACCCTCTCGTATCTCTGTGTAATTGCTCTTGGCCCTGCCACATACCGATACTCCACAGGTTCCTGATAGTGTTCGTCAGTGTGCCGTTATTCACCGAGAGCCATTATGTCCCAGCAGCCTGCTCATGTCAGCGCTGACTCTGGAGGGGTCAGAGCCAAGAGCTCCCTGTTTTTAAAAATGCAATAGAGATTCCATTATTTTGCACACATAAAACTCCTAATGATCTATTATTAATGTTAAAATGTATTGATTTATTCATGAAGGTCTTCTTTTGTCCCGTCCTGGCCGTGGAGGAGGCTGCAGGAGCGATGGCACAGAAATCAAAATAGAGGCCGTTCTGTTTGCCGCCTCCCTCTGACTGTGTGTTTTCTTTTGTGTGTGTGTGTGTGGCAGGCCGCTGTGTGTGACGCTGGTGTTCAGCACCAAAGGACAGCGGTACCTCCGCACCGGGCTGGCTGTGCCTCTGTTCGGCTCGGTGGCCTGCCTGAGGAGGATGGTGGCCGACGAGGGGAAGATTTCTCCAGACCAGGTGACGTAAAGACGCAGTGTGTGTGATTGTGGTTTGACCTTTCTTTGGTCTTTTACTCTGCTGCTGCTTTAATTATTTCAGAGTGGGACTTATTGATTTCATGCTTCTTGCAAGGATCTGCCCCCAAAAGTCCACGTGTTCCTTCATGACCAAAACTTAATCCTGCTAAAGGAATTAACAATCAACTTGTGTGTGTGTGTGTCTCTCTCCAGGTGATCCTGACAGAGGTTTACTCCACAGGGTTCCAGCGCTCCTTCTTCGACGAGGACGATCTAACGAGCATCGCTGAGAATGATGTCATCTACGCCTTCCAGGCTCCGCCCCTCTACATCAGAGGAGGCTCAGCTCGGATCTCAGGTACCCGAAATCAAAAGGAAAACAAACGCATGCTGTTTTTAGCCACACGCTGTCTTTGAAAATAACTTGACGGTGGCACCAAATTAATATTTTCCCTGTCTTTTAATGTGGATGTGCACGCAGATCTGTAAACAAACCAATTTTTATTATCGTGCTTTGCGTAATGAAACCCTCGGGGAGTACACCTCACTGCACGAGGGCCCCGGGGGAGCGCATTAAAAAGAGTAAAACTTCCCCTCGGAGCTCGGTGAATTACATCTCGCCTGTGCAGGCTTCACATTAATGTCTGTGTTTCATCTGTGTCTCGGTGATGTAGAACATGAGCTCAGAGGCACTTCACAGCACAATATCCCCTTGTTTCTCACTTTGTGCTGTCAGCAGGCAGGTTCTGCTCCGTTGTCCTCTCTCTCTCCGGGCCGTGAGTCCCAGCACTGTGTTAACGCCGCCGCTCCATTTGAAAAATGTGACTTTTACAGCTTTAATTTATGTTGCTCAATGGCCACACAAAGCCTGGCTGCCTAACAGAACCCCCCCCCACCATCTCCACCATCTCCACCTCTCTCTCTCTACAACCGTCTGGTCTGGTTCTCAGTGGCTCGGCCTCCTGGGGTTGATTATGGAGAGTCTACATCACCACAGATTGTCCTGACAGTCTCATTGCCGTGTTTTTAAAGGAACGTTACACCATCTTCAGGAAATGTGCTCGTTTAGAGTTAATTAGAGTTCTGTGACCTCGTGGAGAAAAATGTCTGTAGACTGAAACTGCACTGGTTGGCGGAGGCCTAGAAACTCGGGCTGGTAATTCTAGTTTCTCCTCGTGTAACTTTTTTTAAAGGTCAACATGAGCATGTTCTGTTAAATTAGTATTTCAGTCTAATTGATAAATATCCCACCAGCTTCCCTTAAACTACCGACATCCTTTATTTTTATTTCACTTTAATAAAAGACTAGTACATGTGCAGCACATGAATATTCTTGGCCTCACTGTGATGAATAAAAAAAAAAATGTTGTACTGTTCTTTATACGGTCTGGCACCGTAAATCACAATCTTACTGCCTCTGCTGCAGTTGCTAAATGTCCCCTAATCAATTATCTATACATTTTTAAATGTGAGGAACAGTTTCATTCTTGCAGGTTAGATGGGAGACGGAATAATAAACTCCAGTCAGGGATCTCATTAAAGCTCAGTCTGGTATTCGAAGCATTTTGTGTGCGGTGAATTAAGGAGAAGTTATCGATGTGGATTATGTCCTCGGGCGTTGAATGAGCACAAAATGTGCGTAGCTCTGTTTTATTGCGCTTCTACTTTGTGGTCCGTTTCCTCTGTGAACCAAACCCACTGATTGATTTGAATTTTTGCTGGCGTCCGTTCGGTGACTGCGGATTTAAAAGCTCCTGATGTGAGAGGCTGTTACAGGCGCTCAGAAAAGAGCTGCTCGGTGTCTGTGTGATGTGAATGAGAAGAAATTAACCTTTCGATTACGTCAAAGGAGAATCATGGGTGGCCTTCTTAATCTCCCTGCTGTACAGTTTTAATCGTGAAATATTCCTCTGTTCTGTAAAGTCAACATTTCATTCTTTTCCTGGCGCTTTGTTATATCTGTTGGACTTGTTCTTGGTAAATGGATTTTTTTTTTCTTGGTCATAACTTGAGGTATTAGTCGAACAAGAAGCAGGAGAAGTTGATGCCTCACTCGATTATGTGCAGCAAATGTTAGGTTACAGCCAGTAGCAGATTATCTTAGTTTAGCATAAAGACTGGAAATAACCAATAATACCATATTTTCGTACGGGTCCTTAAAGAAACAGCAGCTCAAGTTGATATCAGCTGCACACACATTTTTAAAACATCACTAGTGGTCTGCAGTATTTTTCATGAGCTCACCATCTGCTGTTTCAAGTAATTGAGCTTTTCATCAATAATTAATTGTATAAAATCTCCAAGTGCAGCTCACAAGTGTCACCTGAGACAGAAACAGTCTCGGTTCGGGGTTTCGATGATTCACCTTCAAGGATTGATAAGCATGACGTCCCCCGTGTGGAGTTCTGGTGCCAAGGTGGAGACTTAAATATGAGATCATCTGCCAAATAATATTTGGACGCGTGGAATTGGCACAGTTCACAGTTAAAGCTCCGTTTCACATTAAACTAATTGCTGCTACGAACAGAGAACAAAAACTCCTCCTTCCTGTTGTCATCACGCGGACTGCTTGTTGTTTATATGTGACGAACAGGAAGGAGTCTTGTGAACGTGTTAGTTTAAGAACGACCTGAGAGAATCCTGTTAAATTCAGCACGAACGTTCACTGAGACTCAGGGAGAGACCGGGTGGATTCTAGAGGTCAAGGGTCAAATGTCAAAGGTCTCTGTGGCCTCACAAAACATGCTTTTGGCCTCTTTAAAGTGATATATAAAGTATTTATTGAGGGAATGTCTTCAAATTTTGGGCTTAAAGGTTAAAAAAAATATGAGCGGTGACAAGAGCCTTGTAAAAAAAAAATGTCTAAACTGTATATTTAATGACATCTACTCGAAAACCTGGATTTAATGAGCGATGAGTTCTCCTGAATCTTAAAGCTCAGAGGGACCCGGAGGTGACCTCTGTGTTTCACTGCGGTTTCATGTTCCTCTGGATCTTTAAAAGCAGATTTTCCTCCATAAATCATCCCCACAGTTAGCGGAGGTCGCCGCTCATGTAAATCACGGAGCAAGTTTTATCACTGACTTGATTAGAACGACATTAATGAATGTAAAGCTGTGCATACTTATCATTACTCTCCTTCTCGGAGACAAGACACTGCAGTCTGAGTTTTAAAGTTTAAGCTCTGGTGGCGTATATATATATGTAGACTTTGATTAGTTCTGAATTGGTCTTGTCCTTCATACTCAGCTTTATGTCCTCACACCCCAATTATTTCTGTGCGAAGAGGGACGTGCGATCACACCAGCTCGCTGCTCAGCAAGGATCTCGGTAACAACATGCCCGGCAGTGGCATTTGGCATATTGGTGATGAATCACGTGTCAAGTGTAAACAACGGCGTTTAATGAAAAGTTTGGGGAAGGCACAGCCGCCGCGCTCAATCAATTTCTTCTCCCCCTGCGTCTGAGACTATAATTCACCGTGTGATTTATCACTCAGAGCTTCTGAGGCGTCGTCGTCTCCTGCGTGACGAGAGCGCGTCACCGCTGACGTCACCGGGATCTCGGCCCCTTTGAGTTTTCACTCCCAGCGTGTTGGTAGCGAGGGGAACGGGAGAGAATTGCTGCCTGGCTCCTCACCAGGACAGGATGTGGAGCAGAAGCTGCATCAGATAATGTCCCCTGCTGAGAGAGCACGCAGACATTGGTCCATCTGTTCTCCCCTCTGAATCACTGCTCCCCAAATAGAAAGCTGCGGTCTCGCCACTTTATGCATGTAAACTCTCCGTGCTCCTTGTTAAAAGGTGCGAAGGCAAATTATTACACTTTTCAGTATTTCCTCAGCTCCTTTGGGGGAAAAAAATGCTGGTAGGATTGTATGAATGTAAAATTCGGACATGCAGACACAAGATTTTCAAATGTTTGTTGTTTTAAATATCTTCTTTTTTTTTTAAATGTCGGCAGTAGTGTAGAGAAGGCCTCAGTGTTTTCTCTCTCCTCTGCCAGGGTACCACCACAGCCTGCCATCGTCTCCGTACTCCACTGGTCCCGAGGGTCAGAGGTTACCGTCATCTGGTGCGTTGTCTTCAGAGTTCCTCAACCAGGGCGTCCCGGTCAAGATCCTGCTGTTGGTGTGCAACGCTGCCGGGGCGGGCCAACAGGCCGTCAGGTAAGAAAAGAAAGACACCTGTCTGATAGATCACCAATCAAATACGCAGCAGGTCTGACGGATCTATGTTCGGTGTTGAATCCAGACTCACGGCGCCTTTGTTTATGTTTTTGATGAGTGGGAGAGAATGATCAGTGTCTATGAATGAGATAAAAAACAAGTTGGATTTCATTATGGCTAAAAAAAAAAAAAACGGGTCAGTTTGATAATGGAGGTTGAAAACTGGGACATCTGAGTGTTTTACAGGCGTCCGTCGGGTCCCGGGACACGCAGACTGAAACCAGGACGATCCTGGATGAACTGGGACATACGGTTGCCATAGTTACGGTGTTGAACCTCGTCACTTAGGATGTCCTCAAACCCGCGTCTCTTGTAAAAGGAGGAGGAAGGATACTGTTTGAGAAATATAAACAAAATACAGAATGATTTTTCGTGATATCGTTAAACGAATCGATTCTTCAGCCCAAAAGATCTTTTTTTTTTTAATCAAATAAAAAACAAATGGGACGTGTTAACGTGATAAAAAGTGGAAACTTTTCCCATTAAACAAACAGCCTCTAATCAAATGTGAGCTCCGGTGTTCCAGTCGATGTATTTTCTCCCCGACCTTGCTCAGAAGAAGACGTCAAGGTCACGTCAGCGCTCTGTTAGTGAGAGGACTCACATCAAACAACCGAGGAATCTGACATGTGGTGCGATATAGACATTCATTAGACGCCCGTCTCCCTGTCAGAGTCCAGAGATCAATACAGGTGAGTTCACCAGCTCCGCTCCCGTGAGAACGTGAATCCATGAGACGTCGTCTCAGTCTCTCCTTCAAACGCCTCTCTGTCGTCGATCAAACCGCCGAACTATCTCTCTCTCATCAGATGACAGCTGGACGACGATAATGACATCGGGGTCACACACTCTCGCTCTGCTTCTCCGTAGAAAAGCATCGCAGAGGACATTTCTGAAAATCAGCAAAGTGTGAACGCTCCCAGTGTCGTCGGCTTATTCAAAAGTGTGAAAGTGATAGGTACAGAAGCAGTAGATGGGAATTCAAGTTTCATATTTCATGTGTGAAAACGCAAACGTTCACCGTTTTGGCATTCCTCCCCTCGAATGTTGACAAATTGATCTCATGACATTTCATTTCGTTTGCTCCCTGACGCCAACACTCTGTGAAAATAAATGAGCTGTTGAGCTCAGAAGTGGAAAATAGACTCCTCTGCGTTTTTATACACTTATGTGGAGGCCGTGGATTTGATAATAATAATAAACCTACAGCAACAATTGAGTTCTTCTGAAGCCGATGATTGTAATCATCTAAAGAACACCTTGGAGGATTGTTCCTCGTGTGAACATAACACCGAGGGAACAAGTTGATTAGTAAAAGCATCCACAAAAACTTGCATGTAGACTGAAACTCGCAGAGGCGTGCAGCCAATGAAATAAAATTCAGTTTTTATCTTATCCTTTGAGGGTCGTCGGGTAGCTGGAGTCAATCCCAGCCGACACTGGGCGAGAGGCGGAATACATCCTGGTGTGGTGTCACAGAGCAAACATACAGAGACAAACAAACTCTCAGTCTTACATTCACACCACTGGTCAGTTCAGAGTCAATAATTAACTTTACTCCAGTCTGCATGCATGTGGACTGTGGGAGGAAATCCAGAGAAAACCCATCTACTACACTCAGAAAGACCAAACCATGATTCAGAACCAGAAACCTTTTGTCCTTCATGAATTTTTATCACCTCGTTGATATCTTAAAAACTATAACACAGATTAAAAACATGAAATACATTGAAAAAATACTATTTTTAATTCATTATCCTCATGTTTGCTCTGTTTAATCAGCAGTCGTCACTGTGTGTGTGTGTGTGTGTGTGTGCGTGTCTTTGTCGCACATGGTTTCATAAATCCAATGAATCTCGAGCGTGCAGTGAAGGGCTGCCCTCAATTAAATGTGTATAATAATAAATGTGTTATGTGATCCGTCATTCGAAATGGTGGTCGTCCCTCTGCTCATTATCTCCCTCTGTCCCTCCACGGAGAGGCTGTAATGAGAATCTTCTCTGAAGCTGAGGATGTTCATCAATAATTATTTACGTTACAATAGAATAAGACGAGGAGACGTGCGAGTGGGGGGGGTGGGGGGGGGGGTTGCTGTGATATTTGAAATCTTTTATTCCAGTAATTTCACTCATTAGTTTCCTTTATCCCTGTTTAAGGTTTGGACCTCCATTTCTAATGAGGGAGGACCGGGCTATTTCCTGGGACCAGCTGCAGCAGAGCATCCTCAGCAAACTTTATTACCTGATGATCAACGGAGCTCAGGCGCAGGTACTGATCCTAAACTTTATTCACGGAAGGAAATACTGTTTCTCTTCTCTCCCTCTTCAGCTGAATATCAGTGCAGCAGCGTCCAACTGGTTATGATCCGTCCCCGTCCAGTCAGGGGACAAAAGCTGTCTCCGTCAATTAAAGCAGTGGGATACAAACTGCGTATAAAAGAACGAGAGAGAGATTTATTTCATTTTTATTCACCAGGACACCCTTGATTTTAATAACTCAGTAGAAATCGCTGCATGGTGCTTGTAACGTGTATATATATATATATATTTAATTCCCGTGTACCAGCCCGAGGCAGAGAGGGGACATGTGTCCTTCCTGCCAGGCTGCCTGGTGCACCTGTTTGAAGACGTGTCTATTGGCTCAGATACTGTGAGGTACTGGTCCAAGGGCTGGACGCACCAGCCGGAGGCAGAGAGGATTCAGTTTCCTCGTGTTGCAGCCGCCAGGTAAAATGGTCTGGGACAGGACAAGTGCACATGTGGCTCATGGGAGTGTTATAAGTGTGGACGGGGATTAAAACTGAGACTCACTCTGAGCCAGAAGACAAAATGTTGAACTGTTAATTTAACTGTGCATGAGAAACACAGAACGGTGATTTCCGGTCACATCATTACATCTTATACGTCCCTGCTGTTTGTCACTGTCACATCGGTTATTTACTTCACAGAAGACGACGGCTCTGTTTTCCTGCTCGCTCTGTGCATCTGTGTCCTGTTAATCACGCAGCTAAACAGATTTCTGATCAGTGTCATTCTGGCCGTGCTGCAGTGAGGAGCCGTGTAGAGCAGGGTAAACTGCGGAGGAGTCAGCCGGTGGTCTTTCTGTGCCGGGAGCGAGAGAAGAGGAGTCAGGTGCATCGTTTACAGTAACTCTGCAGGAGATCTGTCGTCTCCTTTGTGCCCCGTGGTGTCAACCATTTAATTAAACTTGTACAGCATAATCAGTTTGCCGGAGCCCGCCTCTGCCAGGAAAGGAGCAATGCTCAGAGCAGATGTTTGCTCTGAATCTTTCATCTCAACGGTCTGAAGTCGACTTGCATCAATGAATCACACGCACAAGTGGATTTCTCTGCTTCGGTCTAATATTAACTTCAATTCGGGAACAAAACTCCGCCTCTGTGGCAGCTTTTCATCCTGATAATGATGATTTGAACAGTGGCTGGTTTTATATTCACCAACACAGACTTAGCTGCAGGTTGTAATGTCGTACTGAACACGGGCGACTGCTTGTAACGTGAACCTAAACTTAACCTAAGCCTAGACCCAAACCTAACCCTAATCTTGATGTAAGCCGTAATCTAAACCTCAAGTGAAACTTAACATTAAACCAAACCTTAACCTGAACTTAGCCTTAAACCAAGAGTAATCCTAAAACCTAACTTTGAAACATGTTGGTGCATTATCTTCGCTATGGGGACTTACTTTTTGTCCCCTAATGGAAAACAAGTCCCCACAATATGACAAAGTCAACAGATTGAGGTCCCCACAACATGAGTAATGCCTGGATCACAAACACACACACAGACAAACACAGACACACACACACACACACACACACACACAGTGGTTGTTTGTATGGGCTCTAATTGGAGATCTTTTGCCCTGTCGGACACAAACAATGCCACAAACATTCCCTTCCTCACTCTCACTGAACACAAAAAGTGATTAGACCTTGGTTGAAAGCAGGATCAAGTGTTTTCTCATGGGGAAACATTTCAGAGTCTCCGGCAGGTTCTCGTCTCCTCCTCTCTGCAGGGGGGACGCTGCTCAGAGGACGAGCAGATCTCAGATGCTCATTTTCCTTCTGTCTGACATTGTACATCACACAGTAATGTGCTTATCACTCTCCTGTGTCTGGCTCTCACATGTTCCTCCTCTTCTGTCTCTGATGGGAGGAAAACAAACCAGGGACTCAGTTGTAAAGATGATTGAATATTTCCAGCATTGAAAGGTTCATGCAAAGGGTCTGTGGAGTGTTTGTATCCATCCGAGGAGAGGACCTGGTTATTGAGGGTTTGGTTAGCGGAGAGAAGGACTTTGAGCTGGATCAGTTTGTGGAAAGGAAGCACAGAGACATTGTAGGTATGTCTCTGACCTGAAATCACCTGAAATAATCCTCAGACCTGGTAAATCCTCCCGGTGACGCACTTGCAGGTTCTGTAAATCCCTTTGGAATGTGTGGAAATGTATGGATGTTACGTTTGGCAGTAAAGAGAAAACCTCCGGCGTTGGCGTTACATTGACTCCTCCTGTGGTCTTCACGTGTTCGTACAAGCCTTTCACTGGCGAGCCTGCGTTGGGAAAACTTGTCACATCAGTCGGTTGAAACTGAAAACGTAGAGAAGTGGATGAGTTCACTGGAGAGGTAACTCTCGGCGCCACAGGGAGGTTTGATTCCTGCAGAGTCCTTAAACGCATGATGCAGGATGATGTAGTCTTAATTACACAGCTCTGTATGAGGCCGTGAGAGCAGAACTTTACTTGGCCCGCACTTCCTTCTTGCTTGAGTTATAGCTGCTGCAGTATTTGAGTCTTTCACGTGACCGGCTCTTTCAGTATTACATTGCATTGTGTATTTGAGCCACTAATGTCGGAGGTATTGTTTATCTGCCCTCAAGGGTCGAACATCGGTGGGTTCATGTGAGTATTTCCAGGAATGTGATTGCTGTGCTCCTCCTGCCGGGCCGAGCTCTCCTCATGAGCCTCAGCAGGTGTTTGTGTTTGAGCTCAGCAGCTACGCACCAGATTTCAGCGGAACAACAGGAAATCAGTTTCATTTCTGCAAAGCGCTCGTTCTTTTCTAAAGCGCCTCCAATCTAAGCAGATCTCAGAGTAACATGAACGCGTTTCGGTAGAACGAGATGTTTTTTTCTTTCAGACTCTGGCTTTCAGTCCAGCGCAGAGGACGGTGTGAGAGGAGTCGTCCAATTATCTGTGGTTTTATTAATGTTTTTGTTTCTGTAGAATGTGCACTGTGCTGCACGTTGATTCAAACTGAAGTGCTGTGAGCTCAAACTGTCTCTGCAGGTCTCAGCCTATATTTCATGATGGCCCACTTTGTCCTCTACTCTGCTCACAGCTGAATGATCTGTGTTAAATATAACCCTCAATGTGCCGGTGTTTGTTCCTGAACCAACTTTTTATCAACAGTTCACATCTACAGCCGTCAGTGAAACCAGCTGCAATGAAATACACAGAAGAAAATAACCGGTAGTGAGAATAATTCTCTGCAGTTTTTTCTGAAGGGGGATGGTGTATCTGGTATTTGCTGTAAAGACCTGGTTTGAATGTTTGGTTTGGTTGAACTATAACCAGCTGGATCGAGGTAATATAATATAATATAATATAATATAATAAACAGTATCCAGAGTCTAAAACCATGTTTAAAAAGCAGAAACGTTGCCGTGAAACATTTAAATCCTCCTGCTCTCTGTGGAGTCACGCTGTTTTTGTTTTTACTCTGCTTTCAGAATACCAGGGTGCTGTTCAACATCCGCGTGGTGGGAGGTTCAGCATTTTACAGCTACCTGTCACCTCAGGACGGGCGACCGCTCTACCACCCTGCTGTGGACAGGTCAGTGACTCCTGGTGGACTGACGTAACACACACACACACTCTCTCTCTCAGCTGAAGTGTTGTAACATGACGCTGTTGTGGATGTGTTAATTGACTTTGCTCTCCATCACCAAAGCTCATCATCCATCCATCCATCTTTACCTCAGAGGGTCATTGGGGGGGGGGGGGGGGGGGGGGGGGGCATGTGTTTGGACTGTAGGCCGGAGACAAACCACACAAACACGGGTGATGCCGTCCCTCACCATCCGTATAACTACCATTCGCAACTTTTATTTGCTTTTGCTTTGGGTGTTGACTGTGCTCTCGGTTGAATCCCTGCTGAAGCCTGAATCACCAGCTGCAGCTTTTTTTGACGCGGCCACAGTTGCAGAGTTTGGTTTGCCAAATAAACGTGGTATAAAAGCTCCTGTATCCTCTGACTCACGTGAGCCCGACAGAAATAACCCAGGACACATTTCTGCGGAAGAAAAAACAACACACACCACTTCCATGCGTGTTCCTGCAAGGTGAACAGTTCTGCAGGTGTGAACACCGTAAGCAGCTCAGAGTGTTGTCGTTGAGGCTGACTGAACTCTACGTTCTCCCGTTATTAGCTGAGAGGATTATTAGATTATCCTAAATGTGTTCTGTTGTTGTGGAATTAGTGGCATTGTGCTCAAACACTGAAATGACTCAATGTTCCCACAGGCTCAGTCAAATTTGATCTAATATAATCGATTGTAATGCATTTTCAATCTGCTCTAATCTAATCTAATGAAGCGTCACTTGAGAACCGCGGGCAGTCGGCCAGTTCCTGAACGTGTCGTCAAAACAACACGTTGCACCCGAGTGTAAAGCTGTTGATGTTTCTATACAGATCTGGTCCTTTATTGATTTTTACTATATTTCACACTAACTGTAGAGGTGAGACATGATTTTACAGCAGCAGCTAAAATGCACAGACATTTTCATCCCTTCCCATGAATGCTCGTCTGATGCCTTTCACTTTCAGGAGTGACTTGCTGTTTCTAAGCGGCATTTTGTCGTGAAAGGACTTCCATTCGTGTAGTTGCTAAGAACCGAACATTCATTGGCTGAATGGTGCTGATGGGGGCAAAATGCCTTTGAGAATCTTTTGAGATGCAAATGTGCAGCACGCTGTATCCTAGAAACTCATGTAATGATAGCGTTTGAACTCTAAAAGGTTCGGAAATGTACTCTGTCCCCAAGTCAACCCCCATCGAACACGACGAGAACGAACCGGTGCAAAGTGTTTGAATGCACGTTGTTCACCTCTGTGTAATGTTACGTACGTTAGTGTTTCTGTCGCCGTCTTCTACGTGTGCGGCTCTGCTTTGTCATCCTGAGATATTTGTATTCCTGTCGTTTTTCTCAGTTTTGTGTTCAAACGTCATCAACACACCCACTCGCTCGCAGTGAATCCTCCAGAGAATCAATCTCCTGCTGTTTTCTCACATGGGCTCATCTGGACATTATCCAGAGTTTCTGTCCAGGGGGGCTGAAATGAGAAAGTCCGGGGCAGATACAGATAATTTGTGGAGAAAAAATGTAACTTTGTGCAGCTTGATTGATTTCAAGGTGGATTGAACAATGAATATTATATTTAATTTCTGCCAGTAGATTTCCCTCAATCTTATACACTGAAAAACAACAGTAGAGTTCATATTATAACTTATAAAACATCCACAGCCATGATGGTTATTAAACAAGTTATTTTTCTCTGTGCCCAAATATCAAGAATTCATGCTTCACTGAGAAGTGTATAAATGTTGACACCTAGTGGTTAAAATGCATCAATGCAAGTGAATTCCACATGATCCTAAGTTGCTGATACACAGTGGTGGAAGAAGTACTCAAACGTTTTACCTAAGTAAAAGTACCACATCAACTTTCTACTTGAGTAGGCGTACCTAAGTACTTGTTTTTGAATATACTTGAAGTATTAAAAGTAAAAGTACTTGCTGAGTGTAGCCTGATCTCTAATGGTACGGTTGACTACATCATAATGGCTCAATTTGAAAGTAGTCATACTTTATTGCATTCCACCAATACCATGCAGTAAATGTCTCTGAGGTTGAACGTGCAGCTTCGTCTGTTCCGACATCTTTAGGGCTCTGAAGCTCTGCAGCTCAGGAGGACCTCCGCACGTGAAGCTCATCATCGAGTGGGAGCACAGGATCAAGGACTGGTCAGTGCATTTTAAATGACAAACCGCTGCAGGCTCACTCTGCATTTTGCTCCGTAAAACTGACATTCATCTACTTTGTGCGTGTTCTCGTGTCCCCGGCTGCAGCCTGTTTGGTAACATTCAGGAGGAGGTGGTGAAAGATGCAGAGAGTGTGAGGAACCAGCAGCAGCAGCATGTCCAGCAGTACAGCTGCACCCTGGACGAGTGCTTCCAGCTCTACACCAAAGAAGAGCAGGTGAGTCAGTGACAAACCTGCATTTGCTTTTAGTAACCCGTCTTTGAAAAGACTGAACGTAGTTTCCTCTGCTCTCATCTCCACCAGCTTGCACCAGATGACGCCTGGAAGTGCCCGCACTGCAAGCAGCTGCAGCAGGGCATGGTGAAGATGAGCCTGTGGACGCTTCCGGACATTCTCATCCTGCACCTGAAGCGTTTCAGGCAGGTGGGAGATCGCAGGAATAAGCTCACCACGTTCGTGCACTTCCCCCTGACGGGCCTGGACATGAGGCCCCACATGGTGAGCCGCAACCACGGCGCCCATCAGCTCCCCCTGCAGCCCGGGTGGAAGCAGTCCCGACGACACGACCTGGCTCCTCCTGACTACCTGTACGACCTGTATGCTGTGTGCAATCACCATGGAGGGATGCACGGCGGACATTACACAGGTTTGAATAACTGACATGAATAGTAATGCAACTTTATTCATTCACAATTTAAATCGTAGTTTATTTAATTTAACAGCATTTTTAACAGAGGCCGTTCATCTCTTTCCTTTGTTATTGTATTTGCAGCCTTCTGTAGGAACTCTGTCGACGGCCAGTGGTACAGCTACGATGACAGCAGTGCTGAGCCTGTTCCAGAGGCAGAGGTGTGCACGCGTGGAGCCTACATCCTCTTCTATCAGAGAAGAAACACCATCCCGCCGTGGTCTGCCAGCTCCTCCATCACTGGTTAGTCCTCTCACATCCTTGTTCAGTTGAAAGACAGCTGGAGAATCAATAATCCCTGAATCCCTGCTCACACATCATTATTTACAGTTAACCCTGATTATTCTTCTTCTCTAATTTCAGTTTGCTATAATTGTTTGATGTGCTGCTTCTCAACAGCATCAGTGCATCACAGTTATTGAGAAATAAATTAATGTTCTCTGTTCTCATTTCCGGGAGTCAGAGAATCAATCAATCAAACTTTATTGATACCTTTCAAGCTCTTTCTATCTTTCAACTGATTGATAAACAAAATTAATTTTAAAAGACTCTTGTGTTCACATCTTGTGCTTCTTTCGCAGGCTCCACCAGCTCCTCCACCTCCGATCATTGGCTGGTCCGACTCACTGGGGGCAGCGAGAGGGGCAGCGTGGTGTCAGGAGGACCTCTCCCTGCAGCGCTGGGGCCCGTACAGGCTCCAGATTCTCCTGAGCTGCCAGTGTTTGGAGATGAACCATCAAAAACAGCAGAAACAAGTGCGTACTTTAGTTTCACTTGATGCCCCTGCACATAAAAAACACTTTTGGTTGCCTTGGTAACAGCAAGTGCATTTCATGGAGCTGAAACCCGACAGACGAGCAGCTGCTGTGTCTCGTTCAGAGTCCAGTCTAACAAACTGACATGGGCTTTATCTGGTAGGCCCACAATGCTCATTGTAAACCTGTTTGTAATGTTGTTCTTCAGAATTATTCCTTGACTTCTACAATATACTCTCACTTTTTATTGTTTGTGTGCTGGACGTCGTGTGCAGAGCCTTTTTAGAAACGATGGTGCAGAGTGAAGTTGGCAAACTTTGTGTTCATCCCACCTGGTTTATCCCACATACATTACATACAGGACATGTTTGGTCAACATCATTTTTCATGTGTGTCTTTTTCCGACAGACGGGTTTGAAGCCAAGCCATTTGTCCGTGGGACCCAAGGCAGGAGTGTCAGCATGAGATCGCCAACAAAGTCCAAGGAGAGTCTGAGCAAAGTTCTGCCACTGCGCTGGTCCTTTGGCTCCAAGGATCGCATTAAACACCCAACACCGACCCGGCCTGGGGAGCTGGTGGAGTACCTGGAGTCTGGGCGCCGGCCGCGGTGTACCAAAGACCCCATCATCCAACTGGTGGCCACCCCACCACAAAGGACTACCCAGCGAAGAGCCTTCAGTGTGGGACAGGAATGCGGCTCGCCCAGTGGCAGCAGCCTCAGTTGCACAGACAGACCCTGCTCTGACACTTGTTACTCGCCCAAACTGCCAGAGGGACAGAGCCGAGCCTGCAACAGCAGCAAAGCCAGGGATGATGGTTCTCTGAGGCAGAGGTTGTCCAAGAGAGCGAGGCAGGACCAGGGCAGGACCCTTGACCTCCAGCTGCACAGAGGACTCATTCTAGAAGGTCAAATCAGCCACAGTGCACCTCAGAGCAGAGACTCCACTCTGAAGAGAACCAAGGTCCAGACAGGGGTGACGTTCAGGCCTCAAAAAGACTTGGTACATATGATCATTCAATCTGAGAACAGGGGGGGGCAGGAGGGTCGCAGCCAGGACAGCCTCTTGTCTTTTTTCAAACCTGGTTTCATAAGGAAAGGCATTCTTAGGTCACCACACAAGGGGCAAGAACGGCGTGTGAATGGCCACGGACCCCTGGAGAAGCTGGCAGGAAGTCATTTAGCCAAACTGTCCCTCTCTAACGGGACGCTGACCACGGCGACACACGAAGACGGGAAGACCGGTGGCGTCCCCGGCTGTGACAGACACAACTGCAAAGTGCATCTGCTGAACGGAAAGGCTGGAAAACACGAGGCTGTGGACATCCAGCGCGCTCACAGCTCCAGCAACATCCAGGCGAAGATGGATTTGACTTTCCGCAGGTGTGCCTCCCTGCAGAGGAACGGCGAAGTCGCGGCACATCCGGAGCACCGCATCCTGCTGTCGGACAAGCCGGGCTACGCTACTCTGCAGCGGACGCGCTACAGTACCACCTCCCTGGGTAGGCACCGACCCGTCCCCGAGCACTGAACCCGCACTGCACGCTTAGACTAGATTCCGACACTCGACACACAGCGGTAGGAGCTGTTGAGGCTCTTTCTCAGCTGGTGTCAAACGAGCACAAACATCTCTGTGCACAGAGAATTGACGACAACGTGTCCGAGATGAGACGCTTCCTTGCTGCTGTAATAAAAAAATGCAGGAAATGAGATGTGACGTGTGGTATCATTACAAAACAAGTGTTTGTGGTAAACGCAGATCCAAGGTCAGTTTTCTAACGATCATGAATATCAATCATAAGCTGTGTCTCAACTCAGACGCCTCTTTCTTCTGAGGACCACAGAGACCACCTCCTTCATGAAGTTGGACACGATGACAAAGTTTGAAGGTTTTTTTTTTTTTTTCGATACAAGCACCTTCAGCTGTTTGTTTGAGTTGAAGCGTGATACTCTCTGAAGTGCAATGAATTCTGGGGAAGGTGGGGCCAGTTAGTTTCCACCAGTTGGACACATTAGTCGTCTTCAAGCCTCCGAAGGACGTATTTCCTGATTTGAGACACAGCTACAGTGATTACTTCAGCGGCTTGTTACCGTGTGACTGATTGTTTTGTCTTGTTTTTTTTTTAAAGTGCCTCTGTGACAGCCCAGAATGACTTTTGAACACTAGGACCTCTCTTCTGATCTCGGCGCACGGAGAAGCCGCCCAGCTCGACGCATCGCTGGAGACAGAGCAGATCTTCTCTCTCCCTGTCATAGTACTGTTATAAGTTCTTACCTGTGTGTGTCTTAAACTCAATCTATGCAGTTAACGAGGAGAGAAACTGCTGGAATGAAGATGGGCTCTAGTTTAACCAAACAGCCGTCAATAGGTGGTTTTATTCTGAAAGGCAGAGAGTGATTTGATTGGTCCATTATACGTCATGAAAAGCAGCAGAGTAAAAAAAACACTGGAGTCTTTGGAGAATTTACGGTTCAATGGGCTCAAACATGTATTAACACGTGCACTGTAAGCTGCCAATCAGCTGCTGAAACAACACGCACCACGGCTTTGTCATGTATGATGATTTTACTGTTATATTACCATCGCACTTTCTTTTTTTCTTTTTTTTATTCCATATGTCGCTACGTGACCAGAGTTAACATGCTGATGAGGCTAATTTCTAATTTAGAGGCAATTATACCAAAAGTGGCACAAAAAATTAAATTGTACGATCCACGAATAAAACCAAGATTTAGAAATGTGTCACATTCACACACACACACACACACACACACACACACACACACACACACACACACACACACACACACACACTGTGTTTGAGTAAGCACCACAGACAGTCAACATACC